AGAAGAGCAAAACCATGTTGTCAGTTAAGGACCAAGATCCTACCCTGTTTCCCCGAAAATAAGACAATGTCTTATATTATTTTTTGCTCCCAAAGATGCGCTAGGTCTTATTTTCAGGGGATGTCTTATTTTTCCATGAAGAAGAATACAGTACACATTTATTGTTAAATGAAAATAAAGCTAATTTATTACCTGTATACGGTAAGGTAAATTAATTTTCATTCTGAGACAGAGCCTAGGGGGGCCTTATTTTTGGGGGATGCCTTATATTTCACTCAGAAGGAAACCTGTAAGTAGGTCTTATTTTCGGAGGATGTCTTATTTTCGGGGATACCCAATAGTGAAGGCACAGGCCATATACTGGTGGCCTTCAGCTGGCTCATTTTCCCAACCATGTGAAGCCTGGATTGAGGGAGAGTTTTTAAAATTTGGAATTAGTGGCCCACAGTTTGTGTTCATTGTAATTTTTAATGAAAAATTAGGAAATTATACAATAGTATCCTTGTCTACCGATACCACACCAATAGACAATCAATGTTTGTATTTTTAAATGGATCCTTCTAGGGTTTCTTTGGGCATCCACAAGTAAACACAAGTATAAGTTCTTTCTCCTTTTTATTTGCACAAAAGGTAATATACACTGTTCTATTCCATGTCCTTTCTCAGTGAGCGCTGCTTCCATCTCCATACAGAAAGAACACTGCTTCCTGTAGCTGTACCACTTGCTCACTTGTAACACTTACGTAGTTTTCTGTTGAATGGATGTACCCACTATATGCGACTAGGACTTTATTAATGACATTTGGCTGGTTTCCAAACTTTCGCTATTGCCTCACTGCAAATCTAGTATCTTGTTATTTCACACATGTGTGAATTGAGGTTTAGTATTAACTCTGAGAAGTGAAATTGCTGGTTAAAAGAATATATTACTTAAATTTTGGTTGATAATGTCCAAATGTTATCAGGACTGAATTAACTTACACCCCAGTCAGCATTGTCTGAATGAGTGCTTGTGTCTCACCCAAGCCTCCCAACTGAATGTTTCCAAACACTTGGTTGTTTTCACTTTCAATCTTTCTTTTCATAACTGCTGGATTTTGAGCCAAAGTTACAAAAGCCTTTTCAATCCAAAATTATAAAATGTTTTCTCATGTTTTCTTCTAGCATTTTTATCCCTTTGGATTTTACCCTATTATAGGGTTGAGTAATGACAGCAAGTTACTTTTTTTTCAAGTGGCCACCCTGTTGTCCCTACATCATTTATTAAAAAGTCCTTCTTCACTTCAATAGATTTAAGATGTCAGCTTTATTATACACTAAATTCCCATATGTCTTTGGATAAAATGTATGGTATATGGATGTAGTATATATAGAAGGGAAAAGGAATAGTGATACAGGAAAGTAAAATAGGAAAATCTTTGGTGAGAAAATGATATTTAAGTAAACACCTGAAGGAAGGGAGATGATTGAGGCAATGCAAGGTGGTACTTTAAACAAGCTTTTTGGCCCTGGCCAGATAGCTCATTTGATCATCCACTATGCCAAGGTTGCAGATTCATTCCCCCAGTAAGGGCACATACAGGAATCAACCAATGAATGCTTAAGTAAGTGCAACAACAAAGCAATTTCTCTCTCTCTCTCTCTCTCTCTCTCTCTCTCTCTCTCTCTCTCTCTCTCTCTCTCTCTCTCTTTTTCTACAAATAAAAGAGCTTTTTGCCTCTGAAATCACTTGGGTGTTGAGTCAAACCCCAGCTCCATTCTATGATCAAAGGCAAGTTTGCATCAATTATTAGTCAGTAAACATGAAATTACAAGTACTACGTACTTCATGGGATCATTCTAAGAATTAAATTTGATCGTTTTAACTAGCTTATCATTGAGCCTAACCCATAAAGTTTGGTCATTTTTCTTATTATCATGGATATCTGTCCTTCTCATTATGCATTCCTGAAAAATTTATAGCTGCAAAATATTCCATTGTGTGGTCATAGGTAAATCTCACATGATATTAACACGAGATTTACCTTTGACCACATAATGGAATATTTTGCAGCTATGAATTTTTCTGCTTTATTTACCTGTTCTAGACTTGTTCATGGGTCTTTAGCCTTACTCTTCCAGGACTACCCTATAATGTTTTTTGGTTTTGTTTTTTTGTTTGTTTGTTTGTTTTTGGTATTTATTTGCTTGTTTAATCATTTTAATCATTTTTTTATTTTTACTTACAGTTGACCTACATTATTATATTAGCTTCAGTGTATACCTCTGTGACCAGGCTTCATTACTTATTACCTAACTTAATAAGTGATCACCCCAATAAACCCTTCACTTATCCAGGACCACACCTAGTTATTGGGATATTATTGTACTCTATAATGCTCCTTTAAAACTTTTTAACCTTGAAATTTTTTAAGATTCACATAGTTGGTGTTTGGGCGATGCAGAGCAATTATTGTTTGAAAGCTTTGTGTTGCTGGACTGGCCCTTCCGTTGAGAGAGTAGCTTTTTGAGAGGATTTTTGTTTTGTTTTGTTTTGTTTTGTTTTGTTTTGTTTTGTTTTGTTTTGTGAGTGCCCACTGGTATTTTCAGGTAGCTAGCCTCTTTAATTCCAAGTATGAGGCCAAAAGGAAACCTGGGGATTCACCGCCATGTTGTTCCTCGGGTCCCAGCTGATCTGCTTCTCCTCTCCACCTTTCAGGAATCTTTATGTTTGTTTCCTATCTAATGTCAAAAATTTTCCATTGTGGTGAATAGAAGGATGAGGGAAAGTATGTATTCTCCATCTTCCTGGAAGAAGAATTCTATGTTCTTCTTTATAAGGCAGTTGGAGAAGAAAAACAGTATTTCAAGAAAAGGGCTCAAGTTCAAGCTTAGTTTGAACTTGAAAAATAATAGAACTCTCCCTCAGAAAGAGGCCCCTTTAAGCAAACCACCTCCTTGCACTGAGCGCCTGGTCATCCCTCAGTTGCTGTCCAAGCCCTGAGACATTGCTGTATCAGGGGTCAGCGGGGGAGAGGACTCCGGGGAACACCTTCAGATGAAACTCCCAGGGCAGACAGGAAGGCTGGGGGCTCCCTCTTCCTGAATTCTGTGGAGCTGCACCCCCCTGTCAGAGCTGCTTTCCTCGCTGAAGAAGTACTAAGAATCTCTCCCTTGCTCAAATGAGACCCATCATGGCAAGTCTCCCCTGATAGTAACCTTGTCCATGTGGACCCAACCTGGTCTGTGGAGACCCAACCTGGTCCATGTGAGCCAACCTGGTCGATGTGAACCAACCTGGTCTATGTGAGCCAACCTGGTCCATGTGAGCCAACCTTGTCCATGTGAGCCAACCTGGTCTATGTGAGCCATCCTGGTCTATATGAGCCCACTCTGACTGAGTTCACAGTCCCCCAGGACTTCCCTGCCTGTCCTGGATGTGTTCCATGTATCACCTGCCACCAAACAGCTTTTCAGATTCAAAGTCAGACCTGGTGAAATCTTCCTTTTTGTGTGTGAGTTTATATAAAGTTATAAAATGGGCACACTTTTTGACCCAGAAATTTCACTTCTGGGAATTTACTCAAAGGAAATGTAGATACACATGATTGATTAAAACCACTGTTTATAATATCCTAGATGTAAAACAGTAAGTGTCCATTGATAAGTATATGAGATATCAAATAATGTCACAACCCAACAGTAGAATAGCAGCTGAGACCTGAAGGATGATACAGATGTAAATGTATTGCAATGGAAAGGTGTTTGCACTATTTTACTATGTGTGTGGGGGGGATGGGGGAGGGGGGATGAGTTGATACAGGTAGCACCATCCCATTTATGTAACATTTATTTACATCCATTCACCTATTAAGTAGTCAAATGGTCCATGTGTTCTGAATGCCTGCTGTGGGTCTCCCTGCCCTGGATATTAAAGAAACAGCAGTAATCAAGCCGATGTAACCTGTCTTTGTCAAGCTTCCAATCTAAGGGAATAGGAAGAAAAGGACAGATACTGAGTAAATAAAGGGAAATGTTGTCATAGCTAAGACAGAAAAGGGCAAGGGATACTCTCGGAACAGGGGGGTGGGGGATGGAGATGACTTAGACTTGAAGGATGAATGAAAATCATGCACAGGCAGAGAGGAAGAATGTTCCAGATAGAAAGCCTTGAGGTTGGAACTAGCTTCTGGTATGTTTGAGAAACTCTGAGGTGGCTGGAGAGAGTGGAGTGAAGGAGAGAGTGCCACCCGGAGGCTGGAGATGAGGTCATAGGCCAGACCATGTAAGACCTGGGAGCCTTCACTCCATGGGCCATAGGAAGCCTTTGGAGGGTAGGAAGGAGTGGGAGGCTGGGGTTTGCTGAGTCAGTCGTGGATTGGAGGAGTCCAAGCAGACGGGGGTCGGGGGTGGTCACAGCAGTCATGGGCTGGAGAGATGGCCAGGGCTTGACCCAGGGTCATAGAAGCGGGGATGAGACAGGACAGAGTCAGAATGTACCCTACACCCTGGCTGAGTGAGAGAGAAACTCGGTCCCTATATCACCTTCCCGGCACCAACAAACAACCAGATCCAGACAACACAATTCTTATTTTAAAATATCAGTTCCTTTTTCAGTTGCTATGATTCACCATTGTGTGGATTGTGAGAGCTCAGACATGTCCCTGAGGTCACTGGACTAGGAGACCACAAAGATGGAGGCCATTGGCATCACACACAGCCCCTTTGCAGAATTGGGAGAAAAGGGTTTTTGTTTGGAATGCAACGTGCACGGCTGTGTTTGTTACCCTCCAAACAATGCCCCTCCAACTAGCTTAGCTGCAAATGCTGAATATGTTAGAAAGAGCAGAAGGGGGAGGAAGAATGACTCTCATAAGCTCCTGATTGTTCTGCACACCCGTGGGCAGAGGAAGTATGGCTGGAATTAGGGGGCAAGGGAGAAAAGAGTGTGAAGCAAAAATATTACTTTGAGAGTCCGCATTCAACAAGTTGCAACTGTGAAAAAGCTGTTTTGCTCCTAGGACATAGCTGAAGGCGTAGACAAGGGACAGGAAGTCACACCTGTGAGTTGCTCTCTCCCTCGGGACCCTGAAGAATTGGAGATTGCCAAGGAGGACCCCCAGACAACAGCTATCACTGAGGACAATAATTCCGTCATGAGCTTCTTTAAAACACTGGTAAGTCGTTTCCTTCCTTTCCCCCTCAATTCTATTGCTCAAAGGTTTTGTTATTCTAAGAATAATGCACATTTGCATGTCATTGTTTGAATGATGCAGCTGGGACGCTGGAGAACAGCAGCAAGATGTGTTTTGAAAGGAAACTGTTATAGCAGGCCTTTCGTGAGGGAGACTTCGGAAATGGAAACCATGGGTACCCAAACTCCGTAACGTTGGGCTGTATTGTAGTGGAGCTGTATTGCAATTGGATGGTCATTGATCATGAAAATAACTGGAGAATACTTCCTAAAGTTCTTAACCCATCAGAGCATTTTGACAGGCACATGGCCAATAAAACGATAGAAACCGCTTCTTATCTTGTTCCAGCTCAGTCTACCATTTGAATTGGATGGAGGCAGGGACCCATGTCTCCCATGACTTGCTCATCTTCAACCCTTCAGGGAAGAGCCCATGGCCTGTCACATGCCAGATACTCAGAAAGGAGCTTGTAATGAAGTTGTCATTAAACAGACAGCTCCAAGTGTGTCTGGGCTACTTCCAAAGGTCAAGACTAACTTCAGAGGCAAAACCCAAAAAACACCAAAGGGTAGTTTGTTTGTTTGTTAGATTCGTGGCAGAACCGATGGAAAGTCTTTGGCATTCCATCAGTCAATTGTTTAATGTGGTCAAACTTTTTGATGAATGTATGAGATCTGATGCATTTCGTTATAAAACATTCCATTTTGTTAACTTTTGTATACTAGGTATACCAGAAGCCTGTGTGTTTCTACTCTATTAAAAAAAATTTTTGGTTACATTTTTTTAACTGTAGAGTGAATTAGAATGACCTAAAACTATGTGTCTATGAAGTAAAATCACCCCAAAGAGCTATAAGTTTTAACATTTGATTTCTCAAACTTTTAAGGTGTCATCGAACAAAGCTGAAACAAAGAAGGATCTGGAAGACACGGTAGGTAGTTTGAAGCGTGTTTGTGTTTGGGTTTGTGTGTAGAATTGGATTTGCATTGGTATCTGCTTCTTTGTTTCTTGAATTTTTGTGGGTGGACATACATATTTAGCAATTTAATAGATTGTCTTTTAAATGCTTCATTTATGTTCATGGAATTTTAATAAAAATGTTAATGGGGAGCTTGAAGTACATGCCAATTCTGACTAAATAATGCCACAATAACCCATTTCTTATATAGAAGAAGAGTAGAATACTAATAATTATCTATCATCTTTTCTCTTCATCTGTATGTAGAGAAACCCAGGGAATATAGTCAAAATTAGCTCATGGAAATGAGAACGAAGTGAGACTCAATTTATAGTGGAAGTAAAGGCTGCTATATTTTTGGTCTTTAAAAAATATGTTCCTTCTTTTTCATGTCATTTGGGGGGGAAATAAATCTCGCTGCCAAGGCAATTATTTGATGAAATGAGGTAGTTGCCAGTGGACACGCCCAAGGAGTTAGGTTGCCCTAGAGAGCCGAGATTTTTTTCTCTATCATCCTGAAATTCAGTCAGTTCCCCTCAAAATAAACTTTCTTTGAAGTAACTATTTTCTAGAGATGTTTCCCCTTCACACTTGACAGAACTGATTATCTCTAGTGGATCAGATGGCATAAAGTCCAAGGGCTCCTAAAGAAAGTTTAGCTTGGTGACAGCTCAGTGTCTTGCATCCTCCTTTTAATAACTAAGAGTGTTTTGAAAGACACTACGACCAAATAAATGGTTTGGCCAGCCCGATATATCTGCTGCCCATATCTGAAGGGGCTAAGTTATGAAAAGGATCCTAGAATTTGTCACAGAAGACCTGTGTCTGAGCTCTGGTCCTACAACCCAATTGCTATGTAATTCTAACCTGTTTGAACCCAAATCTCCACATTTGTAAAATGGAGACAGTAAAGATTTGATCTCTCCGGTCCAGGATTGAGTGAAAGTTGCACAATGCCTGGTAAACCATGGAACTCTCTTGAAATGTCGGTAATCCCTATTTCCATAACCACTGTAAGGCAGACAGCACCATGATTACATTTGTCTGGTACTGGCTGATTTCTCTAAAACTTTATTCTTTTATTGAAAAACTAGAGGCCCAGTGCATGAATTCGTGCACAGGTGGGGTCTAGCCAGCCAGGGGTGGGCTCTGGGGGCAGTTGGCCGGCTGGCCCTGCCCATTGGTCGAACTCCCAAATACTTGATTGAGGGGACTGTTTGCATATTAGCCTTTTATTACATAGGACTAGAGTGTGGCCAGTGAGGCTCCATGGTTGAGTGTTGACCTGTACCAGGAGGCCACAGTTCAATTCCCAGTCAGGACATATGCCCAGGTTGTAGGGTCAATCCCCAATAGGGAGCAGGCAGGAGGCAGCAATCAATGATTTTCCTCTCATTGTTGATGGTTCTATCTCTCTCTCTCCCTTCCTTTCTGAAAACAATAAAAACATGCTTTTTTTTAATTAAAGAAAAAATAGATATCTGAGCCATGTACATGTGTTTTTCTATGGAATTATTCATTTTCTGTAAGACAGCCAGTGTCAAGTTCAATGAATGTTTGGGTCCAGTTTCTCTTTTGGTCTGTGTTTTGTATTGTTTGAGGATACATAGCACAATAAGCTATAAAGAGGGGGGTATGTGGGTGTGTTTTGTGGCCTAAGTGACATGATGCTCTCACTCACTTCAGCTGCTCAGATATTAGTCCTCCACCCAGAATGTGGTCCCAACTGAATGTGCCTGGCTGATAAAATCTCACTGTCCTGCCCAGACAGCTGAGGGGTGCCTACTGGTGGAGTCTATTTTCAAAGGAAGGTTTTGTGAATGTAGGTTGTCCTTTACACACACAGACCTCTTTCTACAGCCCTGGTTCTCATACCTGGTCTTTTTGACATGTTTTCTACTGCAGTTCTTGGAATCATACTTTGAAATGTCTATACCCTTTGTCTATCCTTCCATTTGGGAAATTTTTAGCACGCTGTACACTCCACACAAAATCGCCCCCCATTTGTAACTCGAGTAAACAATTCTGAATGGTTGTGGTTGGGCTACTTCAGTTCCAATCACTCACCACTTTGGCTCAGTGGACTGGCTCATACTAGAAACTTGGCTTGGGAGATCTGCCTACCTTGAAGTCAGCTGACATTTTTGTGGGCGATACTGTGTCCCTGAAGTCCCTAACACTAAATTAAAGAAGGTTCATTTGGGAATGAAAGTCGCTTGATTCTAGGACGCAAAAATCGATCAAGTAGGGACTGTATTACCTTTTTAACTTTGTAGATTTTTCATCTACAAAGTTAAATGTATTTTAATGTCCTATAGACACAGTTGGAATGTTCTGTCATTGCCTTTAGCAAATAAAGTTGTGTTCATCTGGGGCACTGAACCAGGTTGCCGAAAACCCATGTGTGCCTGCCATGGACTTTAGCAAATCACCTTTGTGGGTTTTAAAGAGAGAAACAGCCACATGATGCCTTGTGGTTGGGGGATGCAGTTGATATACCAGCAGCGATTTGTCAAAGTGTTTGAATGTACTTAACAAACAATGGAGGGAATGGATTTTGTCTAAAAAGAAAGTTCTAAGCTGTGGCTGCTGTTGCCCAAAAGGCGTGCAAAGCAGAAACTGTCTGTGATGGGCAAGCTGGGCAGAAGACATCCGAGATCCAGGCGAAAGGCGCCAAGAAAAAGCACCTGAATAGCCCCAGGCTAGGACTCTCCTTTAGACGGTTCTTTAGGCATAAGGTCTGTATTTGTTAACGAGGAGGGGGGAAAGGAACTCTGGTCTTCACCACACAACGCACATACCATTCCGCATCCACCCAGCTCCGCTTCAGGGAAGAGAGAGCTTTGGGTGGTTGGAACTTTAAAAGGGGATTCAAGATTCTGTAAATCAAATTTCAGTACAATTGTTTAAAGTCTCCATATTTATAAACATCTCACACTGGTTTCTTCCTAGCGTGGACCAGGGTTCTGAAACTATTCTTCTAACCCAGTGTTTCCCAAATGTTGAAAGTATGCATGCCACCGTCATCACTATTGTCATATACACTATTATTTATTTGATATTTTTATATTGAAGTCAACTCATTTCCTATGGAAAGGCATCTTTAAAAGAAACTTCATGTTACATTTTACATAGGAAATCAGAATCCTCATAAGGAGAAGGTAACTATTAATGTGGCTAATAAAAAAAGAGCTCACATTCTAGTTACCATATTTGTGTTAAGTCCAAATCGAATGCCCTTTAGAGCTTTACTGAAAGGCAGTTAGCCACCAGCAGACCAAGAATGTCCCCCAAAGCTTCTTGGAATAATTCGATGAGAGTTAAAAAAGGAAAAGTATTTTCACTATTTGAGTATCATTTCATGTCATATCTCCTTGCAATGTAAAATCATCTCTGATTCCATCAGTGGAATGCTTTCTACACTTTGGGAAACACTCCTCTAACTTACAGATAACAATTTTATCTTTCTGGGGCCTGTCCCACCCATCGCCTGCATTAACTGAGCTTATACTGAACCCACATGAAAACCCAGGCAGAACCAAACAATGAAGGGCAGAACAAGTTCTAGCTCAGGATCCTTCTGGGTCCTTTGGGAGATTCCACTCTTCTCATGTCTAAGAAGATGCCAGTGCTGGTCTGAAGCCAATCAGTTAGAAGCACCCTTGAATTGGACCAGCAGGTTTGAAAATGTGTCTAAAATATCAATCATTCTGCACTAAGTTGAATGATCTTATTAAAAAATGCCCCCAGCTGGATGTGATAGTCCCAGGATTGTGTATGCAAATAAAAGCTCCATAGAAAGTCTCATGGGTGAATCTATATTTGCATAAATGTGTTAGGAAGCCATTCTTCAATTTTCATACAGGATTTCTTTTGTGCTGTAAAGAGAGAAAGGGGTGATAGAAATTGCAATGGGAGAGGGAACATTAGAAAGCAGGGTGCTGTGTTTGGGAAGAGCTAGTGAAACGTCACAGGCCTCACACAGGGAATCCAGCTGAGCTTCTCTGGAGCCTCGGTGAGCATGGGCCTTGGAAGTGTGAGCTGAGTACCCCCTGCCCCAGACCTGCATTTCCTGAGGACATTCATTTCACACCCAGAATCCCCTCCCCCTGGACCACCCAAGTTCAGTCTTCCTAGGACTTCCCCAAATCCCTGGCCTCCCCTCCTGCCCCTGAGGTGCATGTTGGGTAGGGCGGGATTGGGAAAGGACTGGAAAGGGCAGAGGCAGTCCCTTTCTGGATGCTGTCATTCGCATGCAAGGGCTTTGGGGTTTTGCCTTGAGTTACACTCAGTCTGTTTTCGTGTAAAAGGGGAGTAAGGGGATTCCCAAATATTCTTATTTCTCGTATGCAGCCATTTGGTTGTTCTCCCTGGCTCTTACCTACAGACCTAGGACAGTTTATTTTACTTGATTATCCTGTTGTGTAAAAAGATAGGAAAATAGGGCCATTGAAACTGACAGCCAGATTCTCTCCATAAACCTTGTGGCATGATTACAGGAGGTGTGACTAAAGTCATTCTTCTTGATTTTATTGTTACCTATATCAGAAAAGAAGAAATCCAAGCCCTAGCTGGTTTGGCTCAGTGGGTAGAGCATCATCCCAAGAATGGAAAGGTCATGGGTTTGGTCAAGGGCAAGTTTGCACGCTCCATCCCTGGCCTGGTCAGGGTGCATGCAGGAGGCAACCAATTGATGTGACTCTCTCGCATCAATTTTCTCTCTCTCTGTCTCTCCCCCTCACTTCCACTCTCTCTACAAACCAATGGGAAAATATCCTGGGGTGAGGATTAACAAAACAAAATAAAAGAAATTCAAGGATGAACTACTATCTTCTAGTTTTGCTCTAAATGGATACCAGTTCTGGTTAATGCCTAGGTTCATTTCTCTAAGTCTCAATTTTCATCCTATAAAAAGAATTCTGTAGCCTAAAAAAGTGGAGAGGCCTGGAATTAATATATGGAATAACATTCTTGCTATAAAGAGTAAAAGTGTCAGCTCTCCTTGGATGAATCTGAATCTGCATTGCCTCAGACTGGAACCTTCTCATTTATCCCCAAACACTGGGCGTGACCCCAGGCTCGCAGATGGGCATCGATTTAGAGTGCTTTTGCCACGCCTAGAAGTGCCCCTGTCCCCACTCAGGTTTTCCCAGGGGCAATCATCAATCCTGCTAGCGCCATCACAGTTTGGATGGTAAATCCGTTGCTTGCTACTTACCCTGAGGTGCTGTGGTATCTGTCCAGGTCATGGCTGCCCCGTCATTGTGCTCAGCCCATTCAGCCAAAGCTGTATGAGGGTTCCACACTCACAAATGAAGCCCCCAAGATGCCCATGTTCTAGAATTTCTCCCTCTTCAAAGAGGCACAGAAAACATAGCGTGTGGCTTACATAAATAGTCAAATTGATGTTCTTTGCGAACACCCTATGAAGAGGTGATGTGCTGCGTGGAAAGCCAAAGTTCAGAGTTGAGGCCAGGCTGTGGCCCCTAATTAATGACGGGCTGATCATGTTCCTCAGTTTCCCCATCTGTGAAAATTCGGGCATTGGCTCAAAAGTACCATGAAACTTATTGAATTACCACAGTCCAGTTTTACTGCCGGATTTTTCCCCTTTAGTCAGAGATCTGACATCCGTGGAATTGAAAGGGCTTATGCCGCGAACTCCTGGAGCACAAATCATAAAATGAAGATGCTTAAAAGAGGTCAGGTCAGATGGACCCAGTGTTAAAATTGGTTATGTTGGCCAGACCCATGTGGCTCCATAGATGATGTCAACCAGGAGGTCGTGTTTCAATTCCCGGTCAGAATACATGTCTGGGTTTTGCACTCAGTCCCCAGTGGAGGGCGTGGAGGAGGCAACCGATCAATGATGGTCTCTCATCATTGATGTTTCTATCTCTCTCTTCCTCTCCTTCCTCTCTGAAATCAGTAAAAATATTTTTAAGAGGAAAAAAAATTGCTAATGCCGGTGTTCACTCATGTCAAGATCAATTGAGATTATCTTCCTTCTAACTCTCCCTTTACCCCAAGACTCAGGAGGAGGCAGAACATGAGAGGTCATGGCCCTGTCCCTAAGGAAGTCAGACATCCTGGAATTGAACCTCAGCGTGGCCACCCAGAGTGGGGACAGGAAGAGAGAGTGAGAGAATGGGGAAGGAGGACAGGAAGAGAGGGAGAGAGGAGAGGAAAGAGGGAAGGAAGGAAGGAAGGAAGGAAGGAAGGAAGGAAGGAAGGAAGGAAGGAAGGAAGGAAGGAACAGAGGGAGGGATGGAGGGAAGGAAGGAAGGAAGAAAAGAAGGAAGGAAGGAAGGAAGGAAGGAAGGAAGGAAGAAAAGAAGGAAGGAGGGAAGGAAGGAAGGGACAGAGGGAGGGATGGAGGGAAGGAAGGAAGAAAAGAAGGAAGGAAGGAAGGAAGGAAGGAAGGAAGGGACAGAGGGAGGGATGGAGGGAAGGAAGGAAGGAAGAAAAGAAGGAAGGAAGGAAGGAAGGAAGGAAGGAAGGAAGGAAGGAAGGAAGGAAGGGGAGAGAGAGGGAGGGAAGGAGGGAGGAAGAAAGAAAGGGGAGAGAGAAAATAGGGATAAAATTAATAACATTTGAAGTTTTGAGTCAATTACAATCTATTCAATTATTTCTAATTTAGATATAGAGGCTCCATCTAAAGGTGAAGAAATGGGGTTTTGAGGGCTCTCTTAAGAGCCTTTCACCCCGTCTATTTGTCTCCTACTCATTTATAGCCTGGGTCAGGGATCTCCACAGTGGAGTATAGGAGGAAAATTGAGAACTTCCATTTTAAATTATATTTATTTAACCCTTCTTTAATTTTGAACTGGGGTTAGTAAAACAATGCATCTCTATACGATAAATAGACTGCGTGTTGGAGGTGCATGTTCAAAATGTTTTGACTGATAGGAACATGATCAACATCACCTGAAGACCAACGGCCTGGGTACGCATTAACCTTCTAACAGAGAATGAGCTACTTACATAAACATGATCAATGATGCTTCCATGGTATTTTTGTCCAAAAGGAACGTCTCTTTACTTTTTCCAAGATTTTAACACAAACTCACATTCATAGTAGCGTATTTGGAAAAGCATGAAGAAAATTAACATGCACAACCCCAGCCCATGTTGGTAAAAGAGAGATCTTTCACTTTGGAGATCTGGAAATCATTTTGAATTTTTTTCTAAACTCTATAGGGTGCTGAAAAGTCACCTGCTCGGTCAGCAGACCTGAAGTCAGACAAAGCCACCGTTGTACCCCAGGAGACCCAAGGGGCAGCCAAGAATCCTACACCCACAGAAACGGCAAAGGAGGGTGCCAAGCAGAAGGGGGGCCCCCCCTCTCTGCCTCTGAGCAAACTGTTCTGGAAAAAGGTAAGCGCTGGTCTCAAGATGTGGAGTGTGCATGGGGCCGGGGTGACTTGAGAAATTATTTCCGTTGAGCCAATCAATGAACTCAGCAACATGTGGTGTTTCTTTCTCTTCTCCAAAATGACTCAAGTAGCCATTGAGTAGAAGACTTACTCACTGACTCAGAATGACATGCCTGGCATAGTATAAACATGTGTTTCGTGGGAAAGGAAGGGAAATGAACAAGTAGAATATTTCATTCTTGGAATTACTCCAGTTCATGACTGAGGGCTGTGGTATTTCATGATTTCATTGTCTTTTGAAAATCACTCATTATCCCCCTGGCTTCCTCTGAGTGCTCTCTCCCCGGCGAGAGAGCTGGGCTCTGTTTGCACTGCCAGATATAATCAGACTCTAGAAGCACCAGGTTTCATGATTCTTAGGAAAAGCCAAGGTGTCCGCCAGTTTCCACCAGGGCAAGTACACAATGTGCTCTGTGATGGGAAAACGTAAACCAGGGTCTGATTCTTTCCTCTCTAGAACTGAGGAGCTGGAGCCGTCCGAGGAGATGGTTGGGTGGGGCTGAGTCATTCTGAGAGCTATTGCTTGGTCGTCACTGCGAGTCCGCCCCAGCAGCCATGCATGTTCCCAAGTCTCGCCTGTTTCCAATGTGGCCAAATGATGAGCAAGACGTGGTGGGTGAGGTGGGCGATGGGTGTGATCTCTAGAGCTGGGGAAATCTAATTTAGTAATTCCATAAAAACCCATGCCACCTGGCACCCACGGCCAGGCAGGCGATGAACCAGGCGCTGCTGGGGAGTGAGTTTGTTCTCTCGTCTAGAATCCTGAGTTTCTTCTGGATTTCTGAATGTCCTCGCGGGTGTTTTTCTGTCCTGAGGAATTCTTCCGTCCAGATCCTGCCCAGAAACAAACTCCGACACAAAGTGAAAACATTGGGTGATGTCATTTGGTGTCCAGTTCAAACCCTCTTCCCTCACCAACCACCAATCGCTTATTTTTAAAATTATTTTATCAGCAATATAGTGTAGGAGACAATTTCTAGTGAGTGACATCACATAGGGGTGGCAGGGCACTGAGTTTGGTGGCCCATATTCAAACAGTTTTATTTTTATTTAAATACTAGAGGTCTGAAGCATGAAGATTCATGCAAGAATGGGCCTTCCTTCCTCTGGCTGCCAGCATCACCTGTGCTCTGGCCTAAGCAGCCTTTCTGCTCTGGTCCAGAGACACCTTTCCATTCTGGCCCAGAGCCACCTTCTCATGCTGCCCGGAGAAGCTGAGGTTTCGAGGAATGCCTGCTTCATCACCATGCAAGTTAACCCACCATCTTTGTTGGGTTAATTTGCATACTTACTCCTGATTGGCTGGTAGTTGTTGTGAAGGTGCAATCACTTAGCATGTTACTCTTTTATTAGGTAGATATATACATTTAAAGTGTATTAGGAAAAACAGTACTGACACATTGAACTTGGTTTAACATATATTTTGTTTAAGGTAAGAGAGAGGTTTCAAAGCAGCCCAATTGCAAGGAAAGTGCAGCATAAACCATGGTACTGACAGTAAGTAAATAAAGGTACATTGGGTCCTTTAAGAAGCAGACCCCAAGACAGAATTGATGTGCTAGAGGAGAATGAGAATGAAGGGTAACGGGGAGTGGCAGGAGGAGGCAGGGAGCCTGCCCACCCGTGAGAACCGGTCACCTGTGACCTGTGGCTGAGGGAGGGAATGGAGGGGAGAAGGTCCCTCAACCTGAGGGTGGACTGAGCTAGAGGGGATTCCCAGCACAGACACTGGGCATTCTGGGGCCACACATTGGGCAGAAATGACCCAGCACCCCAGTGCTCAGACCTGGGCTGAGAGTAGCCAGGGAGAGCTGGCCTGGGCATCAAGGATGCTGAAGTTATGACAGTTGGAGGCGGGGAAATCTGAATGTCACTCCCCCGTGACTGCCACCTGATGGCACATACAACAGGCAAAAACCGCATAGGAGGCCGGGAAGTATCAGATGTTTGAGGACCCCTACGTAAGGGTTAAAAGTCTAGTGTCAAACAGATCTGACTTTGAGTCCCAGTATGCCTGGTTGAGCCTCAGTCTCCTAAGCTGTAAAATGCAAACAATAAGAGCACCTACATCATGGAAAGGAAGCCAGGGTGGTGTGGAGTCATTCCGGTAAAACCCTAACAGGTGCCCAACACAGAAGTGATTTCCTGGCCTCCGCTCAGGAGGGGTGAGCACTACCCACATCCACTTCTCGGCCTTCTGGGCCACCCGGTTTGTGGAGGCCTCTAAGCCAACAAGCTTCAGCGCTTCATCCTTTCTTCCCTTGGTGACGTATCAGAGGCATGCTGGTTTTCCTTTGAAATTCAAGCTTTTCCCTTGGAGATAAAAGGGGGGTACTTGGCATTTATCTCCCTAATAACAGAATTTCATTTATTTATGTTTCCCTCTTTTTCCCCCAACATTATCTGGCTTTACTTCTTTAGTAGATTATAAAATTTACTAAAACTAATCCCCTGTATGGTAAATCTTGTCTTTCCTTCTTTCACCTGGTCAGAAAGAACAGCGCCCTCTGGAGGTAAAATCGGGAGCGTACTTTTAATTGGTTTCTTTCATCAGTGCTGACTTTTTTTGTGCTAAATACTTTGTGCCAAGTAATCAGCATTGAAAAGTCAGCAGTGAGTTTATTTTGTTCATTAGATTCTAGTGTAAGTGAAATCATATGAGTCTTGTCTTTCTCTAAAAAACAAAATGGAAACAGACTCATAGATATGGAAAATAGTACTGCAGCTGTCAGAGGGGAGGGGGAGGGGGCTGGATGAAAAAGTGACAGGATTAAGAAAAAACAAAACAAAAGCCTCACAGTCAGACAACCTTATGGGATTAGCAGATGGAAAGGGGATGGGGGAGGCAGAAGAGGGTAGAAGGAGGACAAGTGGTGATGGGCGTTGGTAGTGAACACACAACACAGTATACTGATGGCATGTTGTAGAGTTGTACCCCTGAAACCTAATTTTATTAACCAGTGTCACCCCAATAGATTCAGTCAATCAATCCATCAATAAGAAAAGGCAACAGTGGGGAGATGGCCGACCTCCTGTAGTTTACAGTCTCACGGGAGCGTCTGTTCTAATTGGAAATAAAATTGAGACCTTTGTTTTCTTTAAGTTAAAACAAGTTTACAGTAATACTTTCCATGTTCCTCCATGCTGTCTCAAAGGGTAAGAGATCCTTCTTTTTTACTGCTGCATAGTGCTCTGAGAGAAATAAGCCAGGCAGAGAAAGACACATATTGCACGATCTCATTCATATGTGGAATCTAATTAACAAAACAAACTGATAAACAAAAAGAAAAAAAAAACTGATGAGACTCAGAGATGTAGAAGCATGGAACAGATTGTCAAATCTCAGAGGGAAGGTGGGGATAGTGGGTGGGTAAGGAGAGATTAACCGATGAACCTGTCTGCATATATGCAAAACCCAGGGCCACAGACCACAGGTGGTGAAGGCCTGGGGTGAGAGGGTGTGGCAGGCTAGCAGGGATCAGTTGGGGAAAAGGGGATGTATGTATGTAATACTTTAAACAATAAAGATTAAAAATTAATTAATTAATTAAAATGTTTTAGTTGTACAATCATTCTTGTAAAAATGTTATAAAGTGCTAAGAAGCGCTAGAAAATTCTGGTGTTTCGAGCCACAAACTCGCCGTGCAAGCTGGTCCAGACGTGGGCTCTGAGCAGGTGTCTCTGACGTGTGACCAACACCGAAGGGGCAGGAGCCCGGCTGTTCACTTACCCAATTACCCCAACTGGCTATTTGAGCCCCTGCTGGCATAAAGGCGACACGCACGGGCCAGTGTGGAAATGGACAGAAATGTGCAAAGGGTGACCAGTCACAGGGCCTGGAGTTACCTCCTCTTCCCGACCCCCCCCCTCAGTGACACTGGAGGAAAATCTCCCCTTGCTACGGGCAGGCACCTCTCTCTGCGCCACCGTGCCCACCTTCCTTTCAACAAGACTTTAAGTAATCAGAACTTAATTCGAGTTTGTGAAATGTCAGAAAGATCTGGAAGTCTGAAACCAGGACAACGATCACAGGAGCATCATGTCCCAAAGCAGCTCCTGCTTCTCACCATCATCTTCACTGGGTTCCCAGTCCCGTCTGGAACACCGCCAGCGACAAGGGCCAGGACTTCCCAGACATGGAATCCAGCGGGGCCGGGAAGGAGGTTGAAGAACTGAAAGCTGCTATTCAGAAACGGTGGGAGGACTGTCTCCCCCTAACGTGGCAGGCAGTATATTGCCTCTTGAAACTTTGGCAGGTCAAGTTTGAGGCCGTCTGGCTTTCAAAATATTGCTTAATTCCTCACCTGTTCATCATATTAAGTAGCATGCAACTGGTCTCAAGGGGAAAGGGTATAATTCCAAGAAGCTACACTTCTGAATGGCCTAGGGCTTCTTGACAATCAGAAGCTTCCAGAAAACCCACAACTTTTTCAGGGGCATGTCTGTGCTCAGGTAAATGTCAGTATGAGAAGGAGATAAATACAAATAAATGATCCACTCTGAAGTCTAGAGAGAAAGAAGTCTGTAATGGGGAAAGACACACAGACACCCACCACCACCACCAAAAAAAATAATAATAATAAAATAAAATAAAAGTGTTTCTGATCCTGGCAGGAGGAAATCTTGTCCCAAGAACCATCGCCACCATTTTTTAGCTGTGCCACCTGGGACAAGTGATTGCCCCTCTCTGTGCCTCCATTTCCTGCTGAGTAACTGAGGATGCCTATTCTTACAGCTCCGGGCCACAGTAGGTGAGAGAACATATACAAAGCGCCAAGTGCAAAAGATGGATTTGTAAATGTCAGTTCCCGTCTTCCCTTCCTCTGGATGTTTTAAAGGTAAAAAGAAAGGCAGGACTTGGCACTAAGTAGAGATGGGGAAGAGTTCTTAACCTGAATCCAAGAGAAGAGATGTGAGCGTGTATGGACAGCCGGAAACAATGTGCAAAACATGTTCTTCATGCTTCCTTCTCGGGGAAGACAGCCCAGATCTGTCCAGTGAGCCTGGACTGAAGTGGTCTGTAAACCATTGCCCGAAAAAGTTTAGGGACAGCTGCAGGAAAGATGCAAAGGTGAGCTCCACAGCTGGCGCTTGGCAGACTGACAGAATGATTGTGGCATCGGCTTTGGGTAGAATTGGGATACCTCTCTCCTGTCTGGGGCAGGACAGGGAGTAACAGTGTTTGAACTTGGATGTGTTGGACTCCAGGCCTCTGACCTTCCACTGAAATGTTTTACCAGAATGAGGCTTTGACATGGTGAATGTGGCCCCTGTTGAGGGCTGACGTAAGCAGCTTCTAGCTCTGGCCACTGTGCAATGGTGGGAACAAGGCTGAGGGCCTGCTGGTTACCCAGCGCCTGCTGCTTTCCGAGGACCACGGGAGGACTTTCTCTGGTCCTGCTACCAGAATTCCCCTGATCATCACTTGTTTTTCCCTAGCAGTGCCCGTATATTGCAAGACAGAACTTATTTCTCCCTTTCCATCAGTTACCAGGAAATGTCAAGAAAAACGTATTCCAGACAAGACTGTGGCTGGTGCTTTCTATACCAATCCCTCTCCTGGCTGCATCTGGCTGTTCGCTTTCCCTTTGTTGCATTTTTAAAAAACATAACGTATATGATTTTGCTATACTGCTTACATTTGTGTAGGCTCCTTCTAGTTCTTTCTGGAACAAGGCACACATAAAGCATCGTCCTCGAGTTGCACCCGAAGGCTGTCAGCCCTGGTGTCTGTAACATTCTGACTCTTGCTTTTGTTTTTTTTCTCCCCTTCAGTCAGTTAAAGAGGATTCCATCCCCACAGGTGCAGAGGAGAATGTAAGTGACGCATGATGCCACAGACTTATTCCATTCTCATCTGCATGTTGGATCATGGGCCTTCATCTCCCAGGTTGTGTTCCTGCATGCTCCCAGGGCTGTTCACCTGCCATGGACTCTTTCACCCTCTCACGGGATCCGGGACTTCTGGGGAATAACTTGGGTGAACATTTGTAATGCCCGTTGAATCAGTGCCAACTAAATGCAAAATCAGAGCACACTTTTATCATTTGTTATCCTTTGGGGGCTGAAAGAGTCTAATAACTGTGAGAACATCTTTATATTTCCTTCTGGGACAAGGTTACCCCCCTCTGTTCCATTCTGCTCTTGTTGCTTCTTTCACGTTCATTTGCATGACAACCCAGATTCTCTACTGACAATGGGTGGGCGGTACCTGGAAGGGCAGTTGCCCCAGGCATGAGAGCCTCTTGCTGCAATAGATGCTGAGATTGTTGGTCTCTGGTGGGAGAGCCAACTTCATGAGACTTAGGTGGAGCCCCACTGTCTGTTTGACCTTGATCTTCAGAGCGATGGTCAAAGTTTTCAAGACTGTGCACTCATGTCTGAAGGAGCTGGCTTCACATGAGATGCCACGAAAATGTATCTTTCCAAAACATCTTCCTGGGAATGAATGAATGGGCCTCGTGCTCTGAGAGTGGCAGTCCCTGGAAACTTTTATGGGTAGGATTGGGTGAGGTCACTGCCCCTCAACTTAGAAACCGAGCACTATCGTTTTGCCAGAGAAAAATATACTCCGCTCTTCTGGGTGTCTCTGTGTACTTGCCACGGATAGGGGGTGTATTTTCCTTTTCATTTAGTTGCTGGAACTGAACAGTGAATCAGACAGTTCATTACTTATCTAAGGCAATTTCTCTTTCTCCACCTGTCTTCCCATGACCTTAGACAAGGTTGGCAATTCTACACCCCCAAAGCATTTGATCATGTTTAGTCTAAACTAGGGGTGTCGAACTCAATCAGAGAAGGGGCCAAAATCTAAAATCCAGCCTAAATCGCGGGCCGAATGGTTTACTGAACAGTCATAAACTGTCATTGTGATGGAAATGCAGCGGAGTGCAGTGATGACAGCGCAGTGTGGGCCACATTGCAAGGCCTGGCGGGACGGATTTGGCCCACGGGCCTTGTGTTTGACACATGTGGTCTAAACCAATAATTCCACGTTCTTCCCCAGTGATTAGTGTAGTTATCAACTTTTGGCCAATGAAATGTCTCCTGAGGTAGGGGGTTAAAGTACAGTTCATGGGAGCAAAGACGTTTGCTGTGATCTTCCTTCCTTCTTAGGACCTGGGTAGAGGATGCGATGCTGGACCTGTGGCAGCTACTTTATATCCACGAGGTAGCAAATAAAAGGATGGAAAGCCAGCATGCCAAGGATGTGAGGGCCAAAGGGTAGAAAGAGCTCAGGTTCTTAGAGAAATTGTGGAGCCGCTAAACCACATGTGTCAAACACAAGGCCCGCGGGCCAAATCCGTCCCGCCAGGCCTTGCAATGTGGCCCGCACCGCGCTGTCATCACTGCACTCCGCTGCGTTTCCATCACAATGACAGTTTATGACTGTTCAGTAAACCATTCGGCCCGCGATTTAGGCTGGATTTTAGATTTTGGCCCCTTCTCTGATTGAGTTCGACACCCCTACGCTAAACCAATCCCAGAACTTCTGGCTTTCAGACATTTTGTTCCATAGCATTATTGGTTAAGTCGCTATTAGATATTCCGTTACTGGTAGACAACTTCATCCTCCCCGAAATGGCTCCTGACCTGTGGTGTGACTTTGGCCAAGTCATTCAGTCCTTCTGCTTCTTCCCATCGGTAGAGATAACACTGTGCGCTGAGCTGTCTCTGAAACTGCTTACCGAGGCCTGTATTAAACCGCCTTGCATAGTGACAGGCGCAGGAACAGGTAGTTATTAACATCATCTCTAAACGGTGCATGTGTGTGTGTGGGGGGGGGGGGGGGGGGGGGTAGGGGTGATTCCAGGGACCCCATGCCCGTGGGGTAAACATCTCTCATAGCAGCACATGCAGCAGCAGGAGTATGAACTGAGTGTATCACACACCAGGCTCTGTTCTAAGCACTTTGCCTGCTTTGCCTGGTTTGATTCTGAAAACAGCCTTCTGATGTATATGCTGTTCCCTTGGAAAGGTGAGCAAATGCTGGCACAGAGATGCTGAGGGGGGACTTGGCATGTGCTAGCTGCTGTGAGGGGCAGCGTCAGTCTTAGAGCAGGCAGGCTGGTGCCGGCGGCTGCACTCAGTCTGCTGGCTGCAGGCTGACCCCAGGCTCCTGTTGCTGATGCTTGTTTTCAGAAATGCAATTGAAAAATCCGGCCTCCATGTGGGAGTCCACACCACCCCGGACTGCCAGTCCAGTCTCTCCTTTGGCTCCAGACTGAACTGGCTTCCTAAAGCCAAACAGAGTCCCAGGCCCTCACACACGTGTTTCCTTTGGTTGGTTCCGTGCTCTATGCTTCGAATCCCTGTAGATGGGGCCACCTGCCTTTTGTTCACGGTAGTCCCCACCCTCCTTTTTGTCTTCGGTCTGGTCAGTCCGTGCTGAGGTCATCTGCTGAATGCCAGCATCTTGGCTCCTGGGACTTCGGAGTTTGTAACTCTCCAACTGAGATCTTTGTTTACAAAGCGAAGATGCTGGAAGTTGTGCCGATATTTTAAGAAAGAAAAGGTGGGGTAAAGAGCTGAGATTTAACTGCCTCATTTCAGGGTGTTCCTGCATGCTGATTTGTTGGTGGGTAGACAACTTCCTGCTTTCGTGGACAATACTGTGATAGGTGCCCAGTTTCACCATTTGGGTCATTTGCAAATCCTGAAGGACAGGAGAAGGTTCCCCACACACATGCTCTGCTTTTGGAAGTACGTTCCCCCCGCCTCCCTGACAGTGAGCACAAGACAGGAAGCTGGGTTCTGGCACCAGGAAACCAAACACTGCTTCCCTCCAAGGCAGGAACAGCAACCGCATGTCAGGCGCCAGAGAGTCAAGATTTTAGACCTCACAGGCCACACACAGTGTCTGACGGACACGCTCTATCATTTAAAAAAGTGTTTACAACCTTTAAAAATGTGAGCCATCCTTAGTTTGGAGACCCTACCTCAATGGACTCGGGTGGATCTGGTAATGGTTTGCCAATCCTGCCTGAGGGAACCAACAAGCAAAGTTATAAATCCTCAGTTAACTTGGGTCCTGTTGCAGGAGCCAAAGCCAATGCCAAAACTGCCCCAGGTATGACCAGGAACCCGCACAAAGGCAGGGCGGCCATGCACAAGGACACGTGTGGGATCAGAGACAGGTGAGCCTGACTCCCAGCTGTGCACCAGAGCTGGCCAGCGTCCCCACAGGCAGGTGACCTGGACTCCCAGCTGTGCACCAGGGCTGGCCAGCATCCCCACAGGCAGGTGACCTGGACTCCCAGCTGTGCACCAGGGCTGGCCAGCATCCCCACAGACTATCAGGGGACCCTGAGCTCACTAGGCACCTTGCTGGGGGCCATAAGCAACTTCGCCAAGTTCATTTCTCTTCTGAAAGTATGAACTGAGCTAAGCAGCAATGGCAAATGACAGTCTGGGGTGGAGAAGGAAATGAGTTAACGAGGACGTGGAGTCTGGTGATGGAGGGGCTTTCACATGACCCTTTCCACACAGAGGACAGCTTCTCCCGGGGTGCTAGAATGTGGGCTGGAAGGAGTCAAGGTCACGGTCTCTAAAGCTGAACTCTTAGGGGAATGATCCCCCTGATATTTACACAGGCAGGCACACTTTACCTGATGGCACACCAGAGGTGGACCTTCTGGAAGGGAAGGGATCTGGAGCATGTTTTGAGGGGCAGTCCCCAAATGGTACTTCCTGTCTAAGCCTGTACCTTCCTGGGGCTGGGTTTTGGCCCCCCCACCCCCACCCCACCCCAGCCGTCTGTTTGGCAGCTGTGGTGAGCGCACCTTGTGAACCTGAGTGTTCCCTCTTGAAATGGTCATAGATTCTAACCTGTAGCCACCGGGCGGATGAAGGACAACCAGGACCCTGCTTTATCAAACATGGCTGGGGCAATGTTTTCTCTACTGTCTTATGACATGGCAAAATAATCCAGGTGGTGTGCGAATCACCGGTAGAGGTTAGAAGGTCCCAGGAAGTAGACTCCGCCTTACAAACAGTGGATCTCAATGATGAGGCGGAGGCCACCCCTGCACCCGCAGAAGGAAAACTCAAAAGAGAAGAACGCAAGCCACCGGCAAACTCCCTGATGGCGTTCCTCAGACAAATGGTAAGCCACTCGCTCCCGGTGCAGGCAAACCCGAACACCTTGCGCAGCCTCCGAGGCTAAAGACACATGTGCACATGCATGAGAAAGAATTGCAGGCGGGGTGGAGGGCATGTGAATTATGCGGTGAGAAAATTCCCTTGTATGCTTCAGATTCAATCATAGAGGAAGTCTGTTTATTGCTAATATTTCATAACCTTTCGTTTACCTCTACTAACCCCCCCCCTTTTTTTTAAATATGTTTTTTACTGATTTCAGAGAGAGGAAGGGAGAGGGAGAGAGAAACATTGATGCGAGAATATCCAACGGTTGCCTCCTGCACGCCCCTCACCAGGGGTTGTGCCCCAACAGGGAATCAAACCGGTGCCCTCTCGGTACAGAGGATGATGCTCAACCAACTGAGCCACACCAGCCAGGACTCTACTAACTCCTTTCTTAATAAAGAAAGAGCTGTCCTTGGGTCCTGAGTTTTAGCAGACAACAGTATCCACCTAGAAGTTAATATTATTGTTTACTTTTATTTATTTGTGAAGGTTCTACCTATTTATGGAAAGACACTGCTTTTCTTATTATGGGAATTATATCTGGTTTGCTTTGAAAACACATTTATGACACAAAGAACATGGGCATTTTTAAAGGATTAAGTAATGAATAGTCGAAATTACATACTGATGTTGGAAAAATTCTGAAGGTGACATAAACTTGGATGAAGCTGACTTGTAGATATTCAAATAAGGAAATGAGAACATAATTTTCTAAGAATGAATATGTATAACTTAGTTGGTAAACTCGCCATGCTCTTTATTATATAGAATTGAAAGAATTCAGGCATACAGCATCATCCACATTAAATATCTAAAGATCCAAGAACTTAAATAATAATAATGAACTAACACCCAAATCACTAGGAAGACGAAAGACAAAAATGCATGTAAAAGATCATTGGTTTAATTCTCTTTTAATGAAAAATAAGAATTTCATTATCGTGTGTCTTCATGTTCATGAGTATTTGGGAATTTAATCCTTTAAGAAAGCAACTCTAATTTCACAGGCCCAACCTGTTAATGAATTCTTTCTAGTCCTCAAAGCAAAACAACACAACACCCTTGCCAGTGGGAGTGAGGCATATGAGAAATAACTCTTAGAAATTGTTGGCAGGAACTCTTCTCTCGTTGCTGGTTTCTCACGGAGAAGCTGCGTAGGGGTAGGTGTGGGCAGCTTATATAGCGGGAACCCCATCCATATTCCTGGCCATTTACCCTGCAATTTGGCACTGAAAATGCGGATCAAGATTGGAGATGTTTAAACCAATTTGTACACAATGTCAGGAAAGAAAAGAACATTTGATCCGTTTCTGGAAACCCATCTGCATTACAAATGGGGTCCCCATATAGCTTGTCAGAGCCTTGAGTGTGATCCAGCTTGCCCATGTCTGAATGGAATTGAGAGATAACATGTATGTCAAACAGAATGACTTTCTCTTCCAAATAACCAACATGCTAAACTTATTTACTTAAAAGAGAGGAAAACACAAGAGACCCAAATGAAGCATGGGAGATGTGTAAACCATCCATTCAAAACAAATCCTTAAATTCTAATGAGTCCCACATTACTTAAATTCATCCTCCAGAGCTATCCATTGCTTGGTGATATTTTCTAGCAGTAGGAACTGGGTAATCTGAACTGTTAGGGAAAAAAAGTCCTTTAGAATTGATTTTCCATAGGATAGGGATAGAGGTAGGAGACTTTTATTTTCTGAAGCAGACTTCAGGGAATTCATAGTGTCAGATCTCACAATGTCCATTGTTTTTAATATCTGTTGCCCAATAAAAGGGTGGTGCCTGGGAGTTTAAACATTATTTCTTTGAATGTATAAATGCCAAAGCTTCCATGACTGTTGGTATTTCCCCTAAAATTCTAGTTGTCTTACATTCTGTTTTATTTTCATTATATTACTACTAGAGGCCCAATGCACAAAATTTGTGCAAGGGGTTCGGCCCTCACAGCCTGGCTTCATCCAGAAGGTCTTTTGGTTGTCCAGTCTAATTAGCATATTATTATTATAGAGTAGAGGCCCAGTGCACGAATTCATGCAAGGGTGGAGTCCCTCAGCCTGGCCAGCTATCAGGGCCAATCGGGACTGTCTTGCCTAGGATGGAGGGAGGGACTATGGGAAGTTGGACGGCCATTGGAGGTTGGGAGCACACTGACCACCAAGGACAGCTCCTGTGTTGAGCATCTTCCCCCTGGTGGTGAGCGCATGTCATAGCAACCAGTTGACTGGTAAATTTAGTCGACCAGTCGTACGGGTCACTTAGGCTTTTATGTAGAGAGAGTGTGATTAATTCAGATCCACAAAAGACGGATTTTCTAGTTTACCACAATCCCCACTACTTCCTATTGTCACATCCAGCCCAGCTCACTCATTTATGTCGCTGGCCCTATCTCTGTAGGCATTTGAGTTAGAAGCCCCTGTTACAGAGCCACATTATCTTTTATAACAACTTCATTGAGTCTCATTGTCTGGGTTTATTAGACTCTGATTCACCCTTGCTCTATTGATGGACAATTGGTTTGTTTCCAGTTGTTGCATTTCATTCATTCACTTATTGAACAAATAATTATTGAGCACCCACTTTACTCAAGCACAAGGGATACAGCCGTGAGCATCAGTAGACATGGTTCTTGTCCTCGTGGAGAAGAAAGCTGAGGAAAACAAGCATTTATTTTTCTCTCTCTGCCATATGCATTCAGAGAGCAGGAACCATGTGTCTTACATGAACACCCTGCCCCACTGCTTTTATACATCTGTGATAATATGCCCTTAGTGTAGCCTCCTGGGAGTCAGCTATGGCAATTATTTTGAGGAAATATTTTTAGATTATATTTAATGGCTTCCAAATATTTAGATTATATTTAAAAGGTGTTTGTATTTGTGCGTGAAGAAAAAAATAAACTGCTCTAAGGGCCTGGAAATAGAGACAGTACCTGGTCCTTCCCTGTGGCACTCTTTGTTTTTTGTGTTGTTGTTTTGCTTTGAGCAAAATAAGTAAATGTTTCCACTGATTTTAGATATTGTTACATATAGTTTTGAAAAAATAATTGATTTAGTAGAAGAGAAAACTCAATTTCAAATGAATCCCCTTGTTTGTAAGCTATATCTCCAGTCATCAGATCATTGATTTTCTACCTTCTAGTCTCTGCCACCCTTAACTTTTCTTCAGATGATGCATTCACCATCCCATGACAAAGTAACTCTTGGTTGAGTTTTTATTTTAATAAATGCATTGCCCAGTTCATTTCTAAAGAGAGCCTTTTCCTTCCAGAAATTAACCTTATAACAGTAAAGGTAGAAAGAATATCATTTTTTTTCCAAATAATTTTATTTCAGCGAGAGGAAAAAATAGACTAATGTAAGTACTTACACTACAGGTAGATATAGCACTTCACAAAGACCCTGTGGGCTCCTACAGATCTTCAAAATAATTGCAAGGAACAGCTGAAACATCTGTCGTGCCCCAATCAAAAATGATTCTTCTATGCATTAAGTCAACTGTATGTCAAGAAATTGAATAGTTTAAGCATTATATTTTTATAAAGTGAGTGGGTAGAGGACTGTATTCATGTACCTGCAAACCAGGTAGGCAGATGAAGGTGGTAGAGAGAAATAGAGACATTCAGATCTATCATTTGTCAATATTAATAGCACCTTGTACTTGAAAAGTACAGCACGTTCCTCCTCCAAATTAGTGTCACATACATTGTTCCACTGAACCCTCCTCCAATCTCCTTAGACCATATGTTTTGTAAGAAACTCTTGGGTAAAGTAACATTCTCAGGCTTAGGTAAGAAAGACTGTGAACTTCAATATTGAGCAAAGTACATTCAATCTATTGAGTCTAAGAAAACCTGTTGAAATTTACTATCTGGAAAGGGGTGGGGAGATGGTGGTTTGTCATGGTAATTACAAAACAAAACCAAACCCAAGAGTTTTCTAGCCAAAGTTCTGGTTTTTGTTGTTGTTGTTGTTGCTTAATATATTTTTATTGATTTCAGAGAGGAAGGGAGAGGGAGAGAGAGAGAAAAATATCAATGATGAGAGAGAATCATTGATCGACTGCCTCCTGCACGCCCCATTCTGGAGATCGAGCCCCCAACCCAGGCATGTGCCCTGACTGGAAATTGAACCCTGACTTCCTAGTTCATAGGTTGATGCTCAACCACTGAGCCACGCCAGTCAGGTGGTTGGCAAACTCATTAGTCAGCAGAGCCAAATATCAACAGTACAATGATTGAAATTTCTTTTGAGAACCAAATTTTTCAAACTTAAACTTCCTCTAACACCACTTCTTCAAAATAGAATCACCCAGGCCGTGGTATTTTGTGGAAGAGCCACCCTCAAGGAGCCAAAGAGCTGCATGTGGCTCTTGAGCCGCAGTTTGTCGACCACGGGGCTAGCCAAAGTTCTTGATCTCAAATTCTTTCTTGAATATTAAATATAAATGCTGAACTGCTCATTAAGGAAGGGTTTCTGGAAGCAGCATTTGTTTAGGCAATTTCTGTCTTCACCAGCAACTTGTATTTCTCTCTATTCTTAAAGGGGAGGAATTCTACACTTCTCAGTTATTAATAATAATAATAGCTGCCATTTATGGCATGCAAATGGTGTGGCTGGCATTGTGCTAATAAGCACATCGCATGTGCCAACTCACTTATTAATATAAAAACCCTGTGAAACAGGCACAACTCCTGCCCTGCTGTGAGGGCACAGAGACTCAGGGCTGAAGCGACCTCCAGTCACAGAGATGCTAACTGGCCAAGCCAGAGCTCAGTCTCAGTTTTTGTTGATTCACCCTTATACTCGTGTTATTTCTGCTTCCTGGCTTCTCCTGGAAACTGGTTTCCTCTGAGACTATCTAAAGATTGGACAACCATAGCTTCACGTTGGTGATTCCCTTAGTAATGCTTACTGAGCAAACATCACTTTTATGTCGTGGTCCTACCTGAAATTGCCTAAAATTACACTGACTTGAAATTACAAGGCAAGTGGAGAGGAATTAATACATGGTGGATGTAAAGCTTGCACATAGTTTTCTGAATGTGCTTTGTCACTGAAATGAAGTTGGCTACCCCTGTAATTTTGTCTGAATTGTCCAATTTCATTCAAGTGGGCATTTTGGTAAACCACCAAGTTTGGACTTATAGCCTTTGTTTATCCTGGAAATTTCTGGCAGGTCCTATTCCTTGGATATATGTAGTGAGATCATGTTGCTGATATGCTCAGACTAAATTAAAATGGCTTCCCAGTTTTTCTTGTAAATCTCAATTTGGGTTGGATAACATCCCCATCAAAGTACACAACAACTCCCCTCGAGAATGTTGAGTACCTAAGAGATATATGCATTGGAAATGGTTCAAACGTGCCACGGAGTATCAAGCAATAGGAACGTAGGACCCGGCAAAGGAAACCAGAAATAATGTCATGAATAACCCAAGGCTTGGATGTCACAACCAGGCCCCATCTCCATGCCTTGATGATCATGAGCAGAAATAACCCCCATGAAGAAAGTTGCTCTGTATCTCGTTGGAAAGTTTCTGAAATTATTTCGGAGTCTTCAGACTGTTCTTTAAAGTGTTTGTCTCTGAAAGAATTTTAGTCTCTTTCAACAGGAGCTCTGCTATTTTTGACAGCTGGAAAAAATAAGTTTCTGTGGTTATGGTCCTTTTAATACAAAGCCCAACATGAACTATTCCAATTCGTCTCTGGAGAGGAGTTCTGCCCAGAGGAGAGAAGGGGAATAGAGAGAATAAACAAGGGATGAGAGAAGGAATTAAGGCTGAGGGAGAGAGGGAGGAAGCAATGAAAGACCACCAAATGTCACCAATGAAAGGCTACCAGTGGTTTTTTTTATTGTTTATTCATCTACTGTATTTTTATTGTTTCCAGTTTTATTAAGATACTAGAGTGCCAGTGTGGGGGTGGGAGGTGGGTCCCTCAGCCCGGCCTGCCCCCTCTCACAGTCCAGGAGCCCTCAGGGGTGGGAGGTGACCCAGTGATCAAGGGAAAGTGATGCCCCCATCACACCTCTTCTGCTGCCACTGCCAGCAGCGCAAGCCTCGGCCAGCCCTGGTTACCTGAGCCTTGGGCAGCCCTGGGTGGTTGGGCAGCCACCATCTGAGGTTTTCCTGCTCCTCAGGCTGGCCCTGGGCAGCTAGGGGACTGAGGGGAATGAGGGACTCTATAGGCAGGGCTGAGGGGACTGGGTGCCACCATCTTGTGACTGTGTGCGCCGCCATCTTTGAGGACATGGCAGTCAATTAGCATATCCCCTCCTAATTAGATAGGATAATGGACATATATCACTGTATGACTTTCAGGTGTACAGCATAAAGGTTTGAAAGTTTAGTTAGCATCCATGATCTCATACAGTTACAATGAAAAGAAATGGGGTGGGGGAGAAAAATATGTTTCTTCTTGTGATGAAAATTCTTAGGACTTGGTGTCTTAACAACTTTTCTATATCATCCAGCAAAGGTCACTGTGGTCTCTTGTGTACATTACACCCCATAATACTTATTTATCTTATAACTGGATGTTTGCACCTTTGGGCCACCTATTTGTTCATTGATTCATTCATCAATGTTTTCAGCCACCTCCTGGTTCCAACATTGGTATTTTTATCACGACTTATTGATCCCAGAATTACCTAACCCTACAGTTGAAGATTTGTGTTGTTGTCATTTTTGGATGCTGACACTTGAACTTAATTATTTAGACTCTCTGGGTGCAGACCATGGAAATTGTATATTTTCATAATTGTATATTTTCATTTCTAGTTGGTCTGCCATTTGTCTTAATCTGATTCTCAACAACGAATGGCTATGGCCACCCATATCAGAACTGCCTTTGTGTACTCTATTTTGCTGTGCGTATGGTAGCTGAAAGGCCCTTGTCTGTTTGTTATTTTAGTCAGTGAAAGGGGATGGAGGGACCGCCCACTCAGAAGAAATAAATGGGAAAGACTCCAGCTACCAAGTAAGTGACTGGTGAACGCGGTTCGGTGGTGGGTTTAGCTGTCACGTTCTCAGTTCTTTCCAGCCTCATTTCCAATGCAGTCATCAACCATGCCAGCTCATTCAATGTCTCCAGGTTAAGCGCCTACTACCTATCAGCATTAATGGGCTCTGCAGATACAAGCATGAACAAGCCAGAGTTCCCCAGCTATTTCTTATTGCAAAGCTTTTCCACACGCTCTTCCCTCTTCTCCATGTGGGAAATTTCTTGAGCAGTTCTCCCAAGACTTCCCCAGTGGGTCCTGAACTCCACCCCACCCCCCATATTCAAACAAACCAAGACGATTGGCCTCCTTACGTTTGGCCATTCATGTGGGCCCGGCACGGTGTCATTACTAGCTGACGTAGTCCTCCCAGAGGCACGAGGTATGATGTCTTTAATTATCCCCCTACAGACGAGGAAGCTGAGAGACCGAACAGTTTATTCCAGGCCACACACCTGGTCCCTTAGACTTCAGACGCCAAACTCTTAGCTCTTCCCTGTATCTTAAAACCTTCCATGCAACAAAAACAGTGGGTGAGCTGTGGGAATGGGGTCACTGGTCACTGGGCTTTTCTGAATGGGAGCCTCTGGCTCATTGTCTGCTGTACTTGGGCTTCTGTGTGTTAGCCTTTGCTAGAACGTAGGCAGCAGGGGCCCGACAGAAATACTGGGGACACCCGGTTACAGAGCAGCTTCTCGGGCACACTGAGTGTCTGATGTGCTTTTATGCAGGGAGGCTGACCTCCGGGGGCTGCCACCTGCAGAGACCTCCTCGGGCCCGGGGACAGCAGTCTTCCCACTTCCTTCCAAGGATGTGCTCAATCCACCGTGTCAGCAACAGCACTCTGACTGCTCCTTCTCAACAGACCTGCCCCCTCTCATAGAGTCTCTGGACCTTGGGACAGTAATAACTTCATGAATCAGAGATTGTAAACATATACCCAGGAGGTTAAATGCAGCTCACAGGGCACTGGGGCTGTGGTTTGCTGTAAACAGCGCTTTAAAACTTGAGAAGTCGGTACTTAAAAATGCACATATGTCACATTTTTAAAAAATCAATCTTTAAGTTTCCATTGAAAAGCCAGATCTGACGATTACACTGGGCTGTCATCCTACATAGCATCTCGAGGCTGGGTCTGAGCAGCTGTTTAAACAGGGCACGTGACATTCAGCTCACCACAGTGCCCCACTCCACACTGTCTCCTGACATCAAAGTCAGCATCGCTTCAACTGGTGCTTTCTTACACTAAAGCAGTGGTCAGCAAACTGCGGCTCGAGAGCCACATGCGGCTCACAAGCCCGGTTTGCAGCTCTGTCGACTAATGAATTTGCCGACCACTGCCTTAGGGAAAAACACTTAAACAACATTTTAATAATATACTAATGTCTTTAACTTGAAGTCAAAACTTCTGGGTAAAGGTGATAACTTACACAGTGGTCGGCAAATTCATTAGTCAACAGAGCGGCAAACCGAGGCTCATGAGCCGCATGTGGCTTGCGAGCCGCAGTTTGCCGACCACTGCCTAGAGAACTAATTCCTTGTCCCTACATTGGTTTCACAACTGGGGGGGGGGGGGGGGGGGGGGGGGGTGTGTAAGTCTCCATGAAAGTATTCTTACCTGTAGCTTGGGTCATGTTTTATTTTATCTGTCTGGCCCCTGTAGGCATTTCAATTCAAGTAAATTGTGGAGAAAAGGCTTTTGCTTCCTAGTAGATATTTTTTTAAATAAATCTTTATTATTCACATTATTACAAAAGATCCTCATTTTTTTTCCCCTCCACCAGCTTCCCACCCCACCCTCTGCCCTTTCCCCACCCCCAATTGTTCCTCATCCATAGGTGCACAGTTTATGTTCAATCTCTTCCCGCACCCCCCCACTCCTCTTTTCCCCAAGAATTGTCAGAGCACTCCCCTTCCATACCTCTAATTCTATTATATTCACCAGTTAATATTGTTCATCAAGTTTTTTAATTCCCTTGGTTTTTAGATTCACTTGTTGATAGTTACATATTTATTGTTCATAATTTTTATCTTTATTTTCTTCCTCTTCCTAAGGAACCCCCTTCAGCAATTCATATAATTCTGGTTTGGTGGTGATGAACTCCTTTAGCTTTTTTTATTTGGTTTTTTTTGTTTGTTTGTTTCTTTATTTTTATTTTTTTATTTATTTATTTTTTTTTTTTTGAGAAAGCTGGAGTGGTTTCATTAATGTCAGATAAATGAGACTACAGAGCAATGAAAAATATTAGCTATAAAGAGGGACATTTGTAGCGATAACAGAGTCAAATGACAAGGAAGGGAACACAGACCAAGCCAGTTACCAGGCTGCTGTACTGAGGTGCCACCGGTCGGGTGGCTTGTAAACAACAGAAAGTTCTTTCTCGCAGATCCGGAGGCTCTGATTCTATTATATTCAATAGTTAATATTGTTCCTCAGATTTTTTTTTTTTTTTTTTTTAGTTTCCTTGGTTTTTAGATTCACTTGTTGATAGTTACGTATTTATTGTTCATAATTTTTATCTTTATTTACTTTCTCTTCTGAAAGAACCCCCTTCAGCAATTCATATAATTCTGATTTGGTGGTGATGAACTCCTTTAGCTTTTTTTTATTAGTGAAGCTCTTTATCTGACCTTCGAATCTGAGTGATAGCTTTGCTGGATAGATTATCTTTGGCTGTAGGTTCTTGCTATTCATCACCTTGAATATTTCTTGCCATTCCCGTCTGGCCTGCATGATTTCTGTTGAGAAATCAGCTGACAATCGTATAGGTGCTCCTTTATAGGTAACTACCTTCTTTGCTCTTGCTTCTTTTAATATTCTCTCTTTGTCTTTTGCTCTTGGAATCTTAATTATGATTTGTCTTGGTGTGGTCCTCTTTGGATTCCTTTTGTTTGGAGTTCTGTGCGCTTCCTGGACTTGTAAGTCTAATTCTTTCACCAGGTGGGGAAAGTTTTCTGTCACTATTTCTTTCAGTATGTTTTCGATATCTTGCTCTCTCTCATCTTCTGGGACCCCCATAATTCTGATGTTGGTTCGCTTGAAGTTGTCCCAGAGGTTTCTTACATTATCTTCAACTTTCTGGATTCTCTGGCCTTCTTGCGTCTGCGGAAGAGTGTCTTCTGGCTCTTTATGTTCCAAATCTTTGACTTGATTCTTGCGATCTTCCATTCTGTTTTTAGGACTCCATAAAATATTTTTTATTTCAGAGAATGTATTCTTTATTTCTTGTTGATCCCTTATTATTTCTAGTTGATCCCTTTTCATATCCTCATAGGTCTTGTTTATTTTATCGGCCTTTTCTAGGAGATTCTTGAACAACCTTATAAGTGTGGTTTTGAACTCTATATCCAGTTGCTTTTTGTCCTCCATTTCTTTCGTTTGTGATCTATTTGGTTTAGGCATTTTCGCAGGCAGCTTTCCTGATGGGGCGGGATTTCAGGGTGGAGCCTACAGCCTTGGCTTCCGTCAGCCCCGCCCTATGCGACTCCTGAGACTCAGGGTCCTTCAGTACTTGTTGCGAGCACCTCTGAGAGAAAGGTGCCCTCGATTTTCGCCTGCTGCCAAACTGTCTATGCTCTCCCCCAATGAGTCCGGTATTGGGGTTCAGTTCAGTTGGTAGTGGGATTGGAGGTGGCATTCAGAGCAGTCTGGAGCCCCTGTCTCCTTCCCGTCAGGGCAATCCCGAGGCACAGCCAGCCGGCCCTTCTCTGCGCGCAGTGTGCGCGCCTCTGGGACCTCCTTTCGCCGCTTCCCTGGAGTCCCGCCTTACAGCCCGGCTCCCTATGGGTGAGCCTGGGTCCCCGGGGTCTGGCCTAGAATTGGGGTTCAGAGCAGTTGGAGCTGGGCCCAGCACAGTCGGAGCTTTTCTCTCCTTCCCGCTTGGGACCACCAGCCAGGCACTCGGCCTCCCTCCTCTCCGACTCTGTCCTCTCCGCACGCACCGCGTGTCTCCGTACCTTGGGCTTTTACAGCTCCTCCGCACTTCCTTCTGGTTTTCTCCTTGCTTCTTGTTGTAGAATTTCCAGTCAGTCAACTTTCCTGTAGCTCTGGGTAATGTCCATTTTATATTTTAGTTGTATTTTGTTGAAATTGTTGTGTGCGGCTGTGGCTAGTTGCCTACCCGAGCAGCCATCTTGGATTCTCCCAGCTTTTTTTATTTGTGAAGCTCTTTATTTGGCCTTCAATTCTGAGTGATAGCTTTGCTGGGTAGAGTATTTTTGGCTGTAGGTTCTTGTTATTCATTATCTTGAATATTTCTTGCCATTCCCGTCTGGCCTGCATGGTTTCTGTTGAGAAATCAGCTGACAGTCGTATGGGTGCTCCTTTATAGGTAACTACTTGCTTTTCTCTTGCTGCTTTTAATATTTTCTCTTTGTTTTTTGCTCTTGGAATTTTAATTATGATGTGTCTTTGTGTGGTCCTCTGGATTCCTTTTGTTTGGGGTTCTGTGTGCTTCCTGGACTTGTAAGTCTAATTCTTTCCCCAGGTGGGGGAAGTTTTCTGTCACTATTTCTTTCAATATGTTTTTGGTATCTTGCTCTTTGTCATCTTCTAGGATGCCCATAATTCTGATGTTGGTTCACTTGAAGTTGTCCCAGAGGTTTCTTACACTATCTTCAGCTTTCTGAATTCTCTTGTCTTCTTGCTTCTGTGGAGGAGTGTCCTCTGGCTCTTTGTGTTCCAAGTCTTTGACTTGATTCTTGCAATCTCCCATTCTGTTTTTAGGACTCTGTATAATATTTTTTATTTCAGAGAATGTATTCTTTATTTCTTGTTGATCCCTTATTATTTCTAGTTGATCCTTTATTATTTCTAGTTGATCCCTTTTCTTATCTTCAAAGGTCTTGTTTATTTTATTGGCCTTTTCTAGGAGATTCTTGAAAAACCTTATAAGCGTGGTTTTGAACTCTATAGCCAGTCGCTTTTTGTCCTCCATTTCTTTTGTTTGTGATCTGTTTCCTTGTCTGGGCATTTTCACTGCTTCCCTGAGTTGGTAAGGTGGGAGGATCAGCTGTATCTATGCCAGGAGACAGCCTTATTACACTAGACTTGGAAAACTGCAAGAGCCTCTGTGCTCAGCTTGGATGGGGTGGAGTTTCAGGGTGGAGCCTACAGCCGTGGCTTTTGATTAGCCCCGCCCTATGAGGTTCCTGAATCTCAGTGTTCCTCTGAGAGAAAGGTGCCCTAGAGTTTCGCCCGCTACCAGATAGTCTAGTCTCTCCCCCCACGAGCCCGCAACTAGGGTTCTGTGCAGTTGGAAGTGGGGTTAAGATCAGTCTGGAGCTTATGTTTCCTTCCCACTAGGTCAATCCAGCGGCTCAATCAACAGTCTGTCCTCTGCGCGAAATGTGTGCGACTCGGGGGCGCTGCCTTTCGCCACTCCCCTGAGTGTCTGCCTTACAGCCCAGATTCCCTCTATATGAGCCTGGGGCTTAAGGGTCTCATCCAGAACTGGAGTTCAGTGCTGTTGGAACTGGGGCTCAGCACAGTCTGGAGCTTTTCTCTCCTTCCCACTAGGGCAATCTAGCAGCACAGTCAACAGTCAGTCCTCTGCGCGCAATGTGCGTGACTTCGGGGGCTCTGTTTTTTGCTGCTTCTCTGGGATTCCACCTCACAGCCCCGACTCCCTCTGTTTGAGCCTGGGTTCCCAGGATCTCGCTCAGAACAGGGGTTCAGTGCTTTTGGAACTGGGGTTCAGCACAGTCTGGAGCTTTTATCTCCTTCCAGCTAGGGAACACCAGCCAGGCACTCAGCCTCCCTCTCCTCTCCAGCTCCGTTCTCTCTCTGTGCATGCAACGTGTCTTCGTACCTTAGGCTTTTACAGCTCTTCTTATTTTCCTTCTGGTTTACTCTTTCCTTCTCGTTGTAGAATTTCCAGTCAGTCCACTTTCCTGTAGTTCTGGATAATGTCCACTTTATATATATTTTAGTTGTATTTTTTGAAATTGTTGTGTGAGGCTGCAGTTAGGCAGTTACCAATGCCGCCATCTTGATTTCTCTCCCCTAGTAGATTTTTTTTTAATCTGTCCATAATTTACCCAGTATTCTCTAGAATTTTAAATTTTACAGCCTCATCCCTCCAAATGGTAGAAACCAAATAGGATTATAAACATTTCACTTTGGCATGAAAGGATGTGAGTTCAAAACTAAAAGTAAAACAATCTCCTTTATCACTGCTTGATGAAGCAAAGGGACAATTTCACACCCGAAATTAAGGTAGACATAGACTAGAAAAGGTAACCCCAAGAAAAGAGCCGCATGCAGTTGCACGTGCAGAAATATCTCAAAACTAGCATTAGCGTGAAGGGCTTCAGGAACAGCTGGATCCAGGCACACACACAGTGCCATCAATATGTGGGCTCTTTCTCTCCTGTCTCTCAGCTTTCCTCTGTGTCCACTAACTTTTCAAACATATTTTTTTTGGAAATGCCCTGGCTCTGGGAGCTGCAGGCTTGCTTTTTTCTTTAAACCCAGCAGAAAATGAGCAGGACTCTCTCACATAGCTATTTGAACAAAGCTCCCGAGATAAGCTCAGTTTTCATCTGCTTGGCTATCCTGAACAGCAGCCCAATCACAAGCAATAGTTTGATTGGCCAGCCTGGGTCACGTGTTTGCCTAAAAGCTAAAGAATAGACTAGAGCAGTGATCGGCAAACTGTGGCTTTGGACCCTTGAGTGTTCTAACACCACTTCTTCAAAATACACTCGCCCAGGCTGAAAACCAACTTCTGCGCATGGGCCATGAAGTTTCAATAGCACTGTACGTGCATGCCTGCACATGGTATTTTGTGGAAGAGCCACACTCAAAGGGCCAAAGAGCCACATGTTTGCCAACCACTGGACTAGAGGGAAGAGTGGTTCCCAAGGAAAACCCAGGTTCTAGCACCAGAAAAAGGAAGAAGAATGCTTGCTGGGAAAGTATGACATTAACAAATTATCAGATGAATAAATAAATGTCCCCTACTGTGAGTATACCGTAATAAGTATTGGTGTGTTTCTTGGTTTTCTTATTTATTTATTTATTTATTTATTTATTTATTTATTTATTTATTATTTTTATTTATTTTTATTTATTTTTATTTATTTTTTCTTCATTCCACCCAGGACTCATGAAAACCTAGATCCCATCCAACATTTGAGTATCTCTGTTTTGACGTATTTATTGAGAGTTGTCTTGCAGCCACTGAGATGCATGTGTTTGAACTTGTTGTAGACTCCGCACTCCCCGCAGAAGGCCCCCGCGCCACCCGAGCCCGAGCCTGCAGGAGCAGGGGCGAGCCAGAAGGGCAAGGAGGGCTCCGCCAAGGACAAGGACAAGGATAAGAAGACAGTGGCCGAGAGCAACAAGCCGCGGAACAACAAGCAGGAAGCCAAAGAGCCGGCCCCGTGTGCGTGTGTGGAGCCCGCCGTGGCCGTGGCCATGGTCCAGGCCAACACGCTGCAGAATGGGGACCGGCTCCAGAAGAGACCTGAGAAGCGGCGCCAGTCCCTTGGGGGCTTCTTCAAGGGCCTGGTAGGTGGAGCTTTTCACATTTCTCTCTGGGCTCTGGCCAAGGTGAGCCTCCTGCCTCCTGAGGGGACCACTGGCTAGGGGCTGGCAGGACATCTGTCAACCAGTACTTACCGAGCACCTGCTCTGTGCCAGGCGCGGTGCTGGGCACAGAGAGAGAAGGTGGACACAGGCCTTGCCCTCTGGAGTGACAGTCCCGGTGGGATGGATGGGGTGGGGGTGTGGAGTCTGGCAACAGGTGGGAGGCAGAAGGTAAACCTGTGAAGGGAGCCTGAGGGTGAGGGCGTGGCCTGGCCTTGCCCTTGAGAGGAGTCAGGGAAACGCTTCTCGAGGAAGTGGAGTCTCAAACTAGTCTGCGGACAGAGGGACAAGGGGAGGTCTGAAGGCAGAATGTGTGCCAGGCAGAGGAAAGACAGGTGCCAAGGCATGCTGGAGAGGGGGCAGAGAACTGGAGTTCCATCTGGCTGGAAGAGAGAAAGCAAGGACAGGGGATGTTGGCAGGGACAGGGGATGACAAGAAGCATCGATGGCTGTCTGTGGCCAAACAGAGCCTTGAAGGATTTCCACCAGGGAGATTGCTCTAAGCCTGACCCTGCAGGCTGGGTGCACAGGTGACTAAGCTTAGCTGCTTCCATCCCAGGAAGCCAGGTGGGCATGAGCGGAGGACTGACATTAATACTTAGTCAACCTTTTTGTGTTCTCCATTTCTGTCCGTTCAGTTGTTTCCTCCCAGGCTATTGGCTTTGCCCTATCTGTCATGACAAATGCCCTGTTCCCCCCCCCCCCCCCCCCCCCGGTGTGGCAGCTGGCCGGATGCATGTCTCATGGATGCACGAGTGGGTGAATGGCTCGATGAGGGGATGTATGAATAGATGATGGGTGGATGGGCAAATGGGTGCATGGATAGATGGATAAATGCATAGATGCATGCCTCGTGGATGGATGCTTGGGTGAATGGATGGATGGATGAGGGGATGGATGAGCAGATGATGGGTGGATGGGGCAAATGGATGAATGGATAAATGGATGGATGCATAGATTTATTAAATACTGTATTTTCTGTACAAAAAATATAATTAAAACTACTTTGGCCACTCCTTTATATACTATACTACACTGTGCTACCTTATATATATTTATATTATATATACAATGGTTTACTGTACTATATATACTATATACTATGCTACATTAACTCTACTAGGTTTCAATATATATGTGTATATATATTATTCAATATACACTATCCTATAGTATACTATCCTATACTACATTATACTATACAATACTATCTATATATACTATTATACTACTCCATACTATATGCATTTTACTATATGTGCTTCACTCTATGTACTCTCTGCCCTTGGGTTAGGGTTACTGTACTAAATATGCTATCCCATTATACTATACTACTTTACAATGTATTTGCTATATTGTAAAACAGGGCCAGTAATAATAGTACCCCCGATAATGCAGCAAGATGGATAAATCTCAAACCCATTAAGCTTCATGAAAGAAGCTAGACTCAGAGCTCTGTGCTCTGTGATCCCATTGCTATGGCATCCTGAAAGAGGCAAAAGTCTAGGCATGGAGAACAGCCCCTGGTTACCAGTGTCTGGGGCTGGGGGGAGGGGTTGACTCTAAAGGGGCCTAGGGATTTGTAAGCGATTGAATGCCATATTTTGGTTTTGGTGGTGGTTATAGGGCTACTTATATTGGTCAAAGATCAGAGAACTATATACAAACAGGATTCATTTTATTGTATGCAAATTATACTTGACAGAAAAGGTTAAATAATAATAACAACAGTAATAATAGCACTTGATTCCTAGAGTTTATTCAGCCACATTCAGGTGATACCTACTGTGTGCTGGCACGTGCTGGGCACCGGGAAACAGCTGGCATCCTCAGAGCGCCATGCAGGTGGAGACAGTGTGGTGAGGAAGTGGTTAGAGAGGGGGACTGACATGAGCTATAATCATGGAGGGCTTTCTGTGCCCCAGGCATGGCACTAGGTGCATTACAAGTACAAACTCACTTTATCTTAGAACAATTCTCTGCGATGACTTGTATCACTCACAATTATTTTAAAGAATAATTTATTGATTTTGAGAGAGGGAGGAAGGGAGAGAGAGAGAGAAACATCAATGTGAGAGCATAACATTGATCAGCTGCCTCCTGCATGCCCCAACCAGGGATCAAGCCCACAGCCTTTCAGTGCACCAGATGACACTCAGCCAGCCTTGCCACACAAGCCAGGGCTGTCACCCCATTTTAAACATGAAGAAACTGGCCCTGGGCAGGTAACTCGGTTGGTTGGAGCATTATCCTGATATGCCAAGGTTTTGGGTTTGATCCCCAGTCATGGCACGAACAAAAATCAACCAGTGATTGCATAAATAAGTGGAATGACAAATCAATTTCTCTCTCTCTCTCTAAAAAAAAAAAAAAAAAAGAAAAAGAAAAAGAAAAGAAAAGAGAAAGAGAAAGAGAAAGAGAAAGAGACAGAGAAAGAGAAAGAGAAAGCTGACTGAAGCACAACCAGTTATTTGTCTAAGATTTCACAGAGCTAGAAAGTAATAGAAGGGGGCATTGAATTTGGGCCTCTGATAGGAGACCATTCTCTTCGAGTAAGGTGCATTCACTGAGCACAGCACTTGGCACGGAGTAAATGCTAAATAAGTGGCAGGTGTTGCTGTTGCTGTTCCAGATCCTCATCAGGACATACTTTCTGGTGTTTTTCTCCAGGGACCAAAGCGGATGATGGACGCTCAAGTGCAAACAGACCCCGTATCCATCGGACCAGTTGGCAAACCCAAGTAAACAAATCGCCACGGTTCCCACCATGTCCTCCTGCCTCCAAGATGCCTCCTCCCTCCCCACCTCCTCCCCAGCCCACGCCATGTATATATGTTTCCCTCTGATGGCCACAGAATGAAATGCTGCCAAAAACCACGCCTGAGCCGCTGTACATTGAGATGTATTATTTATGTCTCTGGTCCGATCTTTGCTGGGTAAATAATCGCAAGGATGGCTTAGCAGGTTCACTCGTCAGGTCAGAAGAGTGGGTGGTGGGGTGGGGTGGAGAAATCCCTCTGGTTGAACTATGAAGCATGGCAGCGACAAGTTGCAGGAAAGAAATGATTTGTCGTAAACGGGCTCGCCCAAGAAGAGAGGAAAATCTGCTTAAGTTCACGTTTCAAGGAGGGAAGGCCTGGGCTCCGTCTGGGGAGGCTGCCAGTTTCCCAGAGCGGCGTGTGTGGGGAGGGAAGAGAGGAATGAATATGAGTCGTTTTTCACACAGGGTCCTTGAACGTATTGACAAGAGGGGCCAGACTGACTGGAGTGGGCTTGAAACAGTTTGGGCAAACAATTGCTTTGTTGAGGCTCAGTGACAAGGGCGAGGATTACAACTTAAAAAAACAAAACACACACACACACACACACACACACACACACACACACACACACACACACAAAATAAATGAAGTTGCTAGTTTATTTTGCAACACAAGGGGGCGCCCAGGGCTCCGTGTGACTCCTGCATCCTGTGTCCCTGTGTTTTTCTCAGATGGAGGGATTTGCTTCATGTGCTCTGTCTGGCACTGTCTCCAGTCTGTCTGTAATTTCCTAATGTTCTCAGATGTGCTCTGATAAAACCCTCCCGTAACCCCCTTAATAAAAAGTTACAGATTATTCACAAATGAGTTTTTTTTAATACTTGTACAGAGGAGTAAATAGGACCAGCAGTCTATTAAAATGTAATTCAAAAGTCGCATATGATTGGCTGATATCATGTACTGTATCTTTCTTTCTTTGATTTAATAAAAAAAAAATACATTGACATCTAAAGCATCTTTTAATTTTCCACTTTTAAAGCAGGTCTCTCACATCCTATGTCTGAGACGCCTTCACCTTCCTCAGTTTAAAAAAAAAAATCAGTACTCTTCCTCCAGCTTGCCCTCTCTCTCCGCTCCTCCCAGGTTCCCTGTGTGTGGGCACACAGGTGGGCATACCATGACACACACCTACTGCATATAAAAGTACTGCCTTGGGTCCAGCTGCCTGGCGCTGAGCTTGAGACGGGATTGATCCCGATGCATGTGAAATGCTGTGGGAGGACTTCCTGCAGAAGGGGAGGAAGAGAGCAGGGCTGGGAAGGAGCTGAGCAAAGCCTGGTCTCAGCCGAGCTGGGCTGCCCGGTGCCTGGGGGCGCTGCGGCATGAAGTGCGCCTCACAGCAGGTGCCTCCTCCAGCCCAGGGGCCACCCTTCCGGGCGGGCGGGAAGGGCAAGCTGCTCCCATTGCGCTGAGACGCGGGCTCCCTGCGCAGCGAGAGGACGTCTGTCTGCATGGGCGGCGTCCGCTCACAGGTACACGCACGGGGATTTGCATTCATACCTCTGAGCATAAGTGCATGTGTTTATACATACACACATACACTGCATACAGAAACAAAGGCATGCACACGTTTATACATATGAACATAAGTGCATACAGGAATTGATAAATACATGCATACATTCGTATTCAACACACTAATAGACGCATGTAACTAACACACACACACTTGCCCATACAAAGCCATCACATGCGTGACCCATCACACACTGATTGAAAATCAAATGAATATATTCTAAGACTGCACTTTAGCCAAACAAAACCATGGATTGGGCCACAAGGTGTTTAGAACGTGTATTTGGGAGGAGGAGAAAAGTGGGATCTCTAAGAACACAGGTCAGGGGGCCCTTTGCTGCTGGGCACGCGGGGTGCTCATTTCAAACAAAGACCCGAGGTGTCTCCCTGCGGCTGAGTGACTTCCTCACACTGCCTGCCCAGCCTGGGGGTTACTCTGAGAATGACCTCATGACACAAGTGTGGGGGGGAAACCCTCTGGGGAAGCCCTCGCTGTGGGGGGGACGCTCCGGCCCGGGGTCACACAGCGTGGGAAGAGGCCAGGGAGCCGGCAGCTGGGGACTCCTTTGTGTCCGCACACCAGCGGGGGTTTGCGGGCCACACCACTCCACCAGTCCACGGAGAAAGGCGACGGTTTCCTTTGCAAGTTTCATCTCCCTGGATGCTTGGGCCTTGGGCCTGATGAGAATCCCCAGGAGAAACTGAGTCATGCAGAAGGAGCCCTCCCACCTGCCATCTCCCCCTCCCCCCCAAAAATGTGAAATATTAAAAGAGGTCCTTTGCTGAGAAGCCCCCTGCAGAGCATGCCAGCAGTTCCTATAACTTGTTTCCCATCCTCCTGGCCAGAAGGAAAGCAGTCTTTTCATGAAATGGCTGCTTTCTAAGGCATGAACACTGAGCCCAGCTGACTTCTGCGGGGAGCTCTATATGAACTGTTACCATAGCGCCAGGAAGCAAGGTTAGCTCCACGTCTGAGGGTGTGTGGACTTCGTTTGATGGGGGGGGGGGGGGGGGGTTGTTTTGGTTTTGGTTGAGTGTGTGTGTCCGCTGAGAGCCTGCTCCTGAGCGTGTACCGTAAACACGAAGATGGTCCTCAAACTAAGCCGCTCAGCAGCAAAACTGCCTCCGCGCAACTTCCAACACCCGAAACTGAGAGACATGGCCTGGGGTGGGGCGGGGGCCGTTACAGTGTGTGCTCTCATTTACGTGTTTGCTTGTTTATTTTTAGGTGCACAGGAAAGTGTGTCTTCTCCAAAGCCAAGAAGTGGCCTTTCCCGAGAATTGAGCTATTGAGCTGAAATGGCTGACACTGGGGAAGCAAAACCAGAACTCCACTCCCGGGTCCAGCTGCCGGCGACTTGACTGATGCCCACATATTAACCCATTCACAGCACAGCTGTTCTCAGCGGCTTCCTGCCCTCACGACTTATCCTTTAGGTAGGGCCTAAAGGTTAGGGGAAGGGAGCACATACCCCCAAAATGCCCAACAGGGAGGGAAAGGGAAAGAAAGCGAAGTTCTTTTGTTTTTGTTGTCACCCCTTCTCCCACCCCCTCCCTCCTCTCTTTAAACAAATCGTCAGGGACTTAAACACACAGACACGGTAGCTGGTTGTCCTCGTTTGTTTGCAAACAGCCCAGATTCCCATTAAATTTCAGGAGGCCGGAGGCCGCAGCCTCTGTTACAAGCCCCGCTGGCACCTTCTCCGAGGGAGCAGATTCCTACCCACTGAACCTGACAAACGTCATTTCTGATGTCAGAGTCCCAAGTTGATCTTCAGATTTAAAAAAAAAAAAAAAATGCTGTGGGCTAGCTAATGGCACTGATTCACTCACCCACCACGGAGCAAGCGCAGAGCATGGCTCCCAGAAACAGGAGTTAGGAAGGGCTGGTTCCAACCATCCCCCCAACATGTCCCTTAAGCCTCTGTCCAGGCAGTTTTCAGGCTCCGAGGTCTAGATCTCAGTGGGAAGAACAGAAAGGACTCCATCAGGAAGAGCAGAAATTCCTAGCTGAGCAGCAAAGCCCATACATTTGTAATTCAGATCGTCAGCGCTGGCCTGGAGGCTGGTCAGCACGGGGTCCTTTGCATAAATTGGTTTTCGGGAGAGTTTAACCCTTTCCGTTTCCCTTCCCCAGAAAGCTGCTCTCAGAGCCTCTCCATCCCCCCACCCTTTAGCCATAGCAGCCCAAGCAATTTCACCGCAATAAGGGAAGTCATAGGAATGCCTTAGGTGACCACACTTCACAGCTGGTAGAATGGATTTTGGATGCGTTATCTAACTGAAAGCTGCACGCCCCTCACTTCGTTGCATCTCATTATGAGGAGACTGTCCTGCACCTGTATGGCTCGCCCTCCCCTCCCCCGCTAGCCCCTTCTCACCAAAAGATCACTAATAACAAAATGGCCCCCAGCTGCATTGCTGACAATGATGGCCATGGAAGGAGCTCAGAACCTAATTTAGTACTCTCCAGAAGAACGTTTTCTTTAAATCTGGCCACACGGGGGAGTTCCAGGAACGGGGGTCTGGAATCTCTAGCCAGGCTCTTCCCTGACTGCCTAAATGGAGGTTGGGGCTAAGCAGCTCTTAAGAGTGTGTTTGTTGATTGACCTCTAGAAAGCAGTCAAGTTGAATGAAGAGGACTAAAACAAGGGGCCAAACTGGGCATGTTCCATCTCCCTTGGCACTCGGCTCCGCCAAGTAAGCACCACTGGTACCCCACTGCTCAGGAAGGGAGCTAGAGGTTCGGTGTCTCGCCCCCAACTGAGTGTGGGAGGTAAGGCTGATGAGGATGACTTCAATGTTTGCAATCACACTGCCCTTCCTCACGTTTCTTCCAAGACTGAGCTGATGGGGATGGAAAAATAAACCAACCAACTGTAACTTTGGGCTGGGAATCACAGGTGACCTAGACGTAGCACATGCTCCATAAATAGCGGCTGAAGGGATAAGTCGGTAGGTCAGCGTTCTATGGCCACGTCCCCTGGAAATGGAGTTGCCTGTATGTAGTATGGGTTGATTTTAGCTACAAGTGTTTGGTCACTCTGACCAGACACCCACCCTCCCCTGGTGGCCAGCCCAGGGGTTCTCAAAGTGTGGTCCCATAATGAGCAGCATCCCTAAGAACGAGGGAAAGATGCAAATTACTGGGCTCCACTCCAGGCCCGCTAGATCAAAACCTCTGGGGTTGGGACCCAGGTGGTTCTGATGCACAAGAAATTTTGGAATCACTGATCAGTGTAGAGCTACCACGTCACTGAACAGCAACTTTAGAAAAACAGCCATAAGATGCAGCTACCATTGGGTCTGAGTCTCTGCCAGGTGGGAACTTAACCTAAGCTTGTAAAGGCATGTTTTCGTGTTTGTCAGAGAGATGGGCAAGCAAAGGACGGTCATAATGTAATATAAGAGAGATGCAGGTGCTGTGGGACTCGGGGAGGCACAGATACGAGTCAGAGGTGTTTGCAACAGAAGAGGAATGCAAATGCAAGTAGCTCAGCGTGGCTGGGGCGAGGCGGCGGGAGGACAGATGAGATGGTGGGGCTGGAGAGGAGATTCAGACATGATCACCAGGACATGTGGAAAGGAGCCCACAGTAAGTTTAAACTCTCTCCCAAGGACAATGGGGAGCCGTGGGGAGATCCGACTTACTCTGGTTGGTGTTTTGGTTGCAGGTAGGATCCAATGCCAAGTCAATAGAACTAATATTCATTGAGTGACCGGAACTGAATACTAGAAATAACGCATAATCATTTTCTTTTTAAGCCTTTCTAAAGAGTATAAGGAATTCCCACTTTGCCCGCCGGAGTGGCTCAGCTAGTTAAGCATCATCTCATGCACTGGAAGGTTGCTGGTTCAATTCCCTGTCAGGGAGCATACAGAAGGCAACTGATCAAGGTTTGATCCCCAGTCAGGGAGCATACAGAAGGCAACTGATCCCCAGTCAGGGAGCATACAGAAGGCAACTGATCAAGGTTTGATCCCCAGTCAGGGAGCATACAGAAGGCAACTGATCAATG